AAGGGGAGGAGCAATGCAGAGAGAGGCAGGGAAAAAATATGAGCCTATAAGGACAAGGGGAGGAGCAATGCAGAGAGGCGGGACAAATATGAGCCTATAAGGACAAGGGGGAGGAGCAATGCAGGGAGAGGCAGGGAAAAAATATGAGTCTATAAAGACAAAGGGAGGAGAACGGATGGAGAGGCGGGGCAAATATGGGCCTATAAGGACAAGAGGAGGAGCAATGGATGGAGAGGCGGGGCAAAATATGGGCCTATAAGAACAAGGGGGAGGAGCAATGCAAGGGGGGGGGGGCAAAATATGGGCCCACAAGGACAAGAAAGCTGTGGCAAAGTGGAGGGAGGTGGGGCAGGTACGGAACAAAATGGACAAGGGAAGCTGGGGGGAGGTGGGGAGAACTAGAGGAGAGGTGAGGACCAGAGAGGCAGGGCAAAGCTGAAAGACAAGGCCTACCTTTCTGGCAGTGGTTGGAGGTCCAGCAGCGGTAATTGTAGTTCTCGTTGAAGCTGGTCTTGATGCACTGAGGGTTGTCCTCCATGATGCCGGGGCAGACATTCCCACACTCCTTGGACTGCTTGTTCCCAGCGATGAAGTTGTTGAACTCTGCATCCATGATGAGGGACCAGTCCACCGAGTCGAGGTAGCAGAGCTCTGGGTTCTTCTCGATGCGGATGGCTCCTCTCGTGATGTTCCTCAGACTGTACAGGCCGATGTCCTTCAGGCTGGTCATCTCAAAGACCACCAGGGCGTAGTTGTAAAAGAGGTTGCGGCCGCGGATGACGGCCAGGTTGGGGAAGAGCGTGCTCAGGCTGTCCAGGCCCGAGACGCGGAACAGCAGCAGATAGTCAGTCACCATGGTGAGCTTGGGGAAGCTGAGGGTGCTGAAGACCTCCTGGTTGGCGTTGCTGCCCTTGTCGCCGATGAGCAGGATCTGCAGGTATCCCTCCACCACTGTGCAGTTCTCCAGGCGCTTGAACTCGCTGATGTCGTTCCTGATGTCGATACTTGGACCACAGGCTAGGGAAAAGAGGGGGGTGGGGGGGACAGGGTGAGATTGGAGAAAGTGTATGCAGGGTAACATATGACTCAGCCGAAGAGCATCTCGCACGACCACCAACAAAACACCAGAGCTCCTCACTATCCTGGTGTTATTTATAGTCCGTATAACGTCCTGCTCTGTGGACAGCGGCTGTTACACAAGTACTAAATAAGAAGCCAGGAAATATGACTTTCATCAAACAGACCCCCGGCTCCCAGGGACACCGACTTCCACTTAGTGATTTTTGTTCCTCCCTCCCACAAAAGCTCATTGTCTCTTTTGTTTTCATTGCCCCCCCATCACCACTTTGTGAAGCAGTGTTTCAAGTGGCAACCGAGTCTGTGGACAGCAGGCACAGCAACATGAGGTCATAGAGAGAGACTGCACTCCACGTGCAAATTAAAATACAAACCGAAAGCTTCCATCAGCAAGCAGGCAAGTGACTTGCTGTTTATTTATGGTGAACCCTGGGGGGGGGGGGAGACAGGGAGTCAGCATACAACCTGACACTGGAGTCATGATTTACTCACAAAAATTATTTAATCTTTTAATTGTGCCCTTCAGCACAGCAAAGCATGCAACACCTCTGCTATGAACATCTGGAGGTGGGGGGGGGGGGGGGGGGGGGGGACGGGACTTCAGTTTGCTAGCACACCGCGCATCACTTAAGTGAACTATTCAAACATACCAAGAAAAAGATTAAAATCAACAGACGCAGGGTGACTATCGGCGAGCATCTAGTGGGAGTGACTCCGGTGAGGCAGTGTGACCTCAGGGCCGAATTCTGGAAATACCGGGATTCGAAATGAACTCCATGGCCCCCCATTTTATTTTTTTTACACAGAAAGCTATAAAACTACCATCGAACAGCCGGGGAGGGTTAACGCCACCCTTTTACTGAAGGCACATCAGGCAACAATCAGGCCAGCTACTCAGCCGCCACGTGCCACCTGAAGAGGGCGCCCTTCCACATAAAGCAGAGGCGAGGATGCTTCTGTAGCGCCCAGCGTGACGGGTAATGGTGACACATCCAGGCATCCCACTGCCCGTCCCCAAATACATTAAAAAGATCAGCGCATGCCGTCCGAGCAGGCCGCACCGGGAACCTCGCCACACTACGAGGCAAGCAGACGGTCTCACCCGCCAACCGCCGGCACAGAGAATTTACAGGTTAGCTACCCTCAATCCTGTGGCAATAGTTTAAGCATTATGGGGCAGACGATTACTCTCCGGCTTAAGGTGTCATCACACTTTACGCTGACAGGGACATATCCATGGGCCAACAGAGGCCCATTTTCCATAGACTCTACTGCAGAAAACGAGTTATTAATTAAATGTTTGCCTTTGTCTATCGAATCCAAAATGAAGCTAAGGAGAACTGACTGAAAAGTGAAAAACAATATGACGTACAAAGCTTCAGCACTTACGAAAATAACAGTGAGCGGCTGTTACATAAAATTAATTCGGATTGGAAAGAGAAAAACACGTGTGAATAATGCCACAAGGGTCACCGGCTGGCCCTCATGTCACCATGGAAATCCCCACGCGAAGAAAAACAAATGCTGGAAGGGGAGAGTTCTTCAGCTCGGGTGTAGGGACGCTGTGGGCCCCGCTCAGCATGCGCCCCCCCCCCCCCATGCCGGGCATCACACGTCAGCCCATAACACCAAGAAATCACAGACCACGCTGCGAGACGGCTCTGTTTGGAGATCAGCATGATGAACCACTGCAAGGACTACAACTACCATGAACCGGCATGTCCCTACGGTGGGGGAACAGCGACACACATTGCGAAAGGCTGTGAAGGCAGGAGAAACGCACAGTAACCACACAGCATCACAAACATTCACACTTAATGAAATTATGGATCTGTCAAAGGACTTGATCTTTACAGTACATTACATACTGGTTAAACTGAAACAGCTCACGTCAACTTACCCACAACAAACCGGAATAACAAATCCGAGCACAAGGAAAATGCATGTTGAAGTAGCCATGTCTACAAGGCTAAATGTTACACTTAGCAGGGGAATCTGTCTATGCTGATGATGACACCCAATATAAATACATGGGGCACAAACAGCAGAAGTCAGGGGACGATAAAACATAAAATAAAAGGTAGCTGATTATGAGAAAGACCTCGGTGTGTATGTTGATGCTTCCATGTCCCACTCTCGCCAGTGTGGGGAGGCAATTAAAAAGGCCAATAGGATGTTAGGTTACATCTCTAGGTGTGAGGAGTTTAAGTCAAGGGAGGACATGCTACAATTATACAATTCCTTGGTAAAACCCCACCTAGAATATTGTGTGCAGGTTTGGTTGTCATACCTTATAAAGGACATTGATGTCTTGGAAAAGGTTCAACGTAGGGCTACAAGAATGATTCCTGGTCTTAGAGGAATGTCTTATGAGGAGAGGTTAGCTGAGCTGAATCTGTTTAGCCTTGAGCAAAGGAGACTAAGGGGGGACATGATCCAGGTCTATAAGATTCTAACAGGTCTAGTTGCTGTTCAGCCAAATGGCTATTTCAATATTAGTTTAAATACTAGAACTTGTGGCCATATGTGGAAATTAGCGGGAGAACATTTTAAACTGAATTTGAGAAAACACTTCTTTACACAGCGTGTAGTTAGAGTATGGAATAGTCTTCCTGCTAGTGTAGCGGAAGCTAAAACCCTGGGTTCCTTTAAATCAGAGCTAGATAAGATTTTAACAACTCTGATCTATTAGCTAACTTCTCCCCAAACGAGCTTGATGGGCAGAATGGCTTCCTCTCGTTTGTAAATTTTTTATGTTCTTAAGACACTAGAGCTGGACGGTACAACCAAAAATTTATATCACGGTATTTTTCTAAGTTATATTGGTTTCACGGTATACGACTGGGCGTTTACCACATTTTACAGGACACATTTTTGTTTTATATTTTTGCATTGTTCCCACATTAACTATATTATTTTATTATTAACCACTGCTCCTATCCGCTACCTTAATGATAACAGATGGCTAACGGGTTTGTTGGCTAACTGCTTATAGATAAACGGCTAATGTTAAGATGTGTGACGGTCAAGGTAACATTTTTGATACGTGTTAAATAGTTTAGTGTTGCTGGAATGCGAGCTTTACTGACCTTGCAGAATATCTCATAAAGACCGGAATGTCAGTCTTTAAGATGCTTCGCCAGGTTTGACGTGCTACTTGACTTCGTCGCCACAACTTTGTAGCACCGTTAGCATAGAGGCTTATTGACATCCTTAGCCTTTCCATGCTCGTCTGCAAAATACTTCCAAATGGCACTTTCGCACATTTTTTTTTCCTTCTGACTAAAGCGGCTTACGAAGTACCTTCAACTGCAGCATATGCCATGTTCGGCCAACTCGGTGTGTGTGTGTTAACCAGCGCGAATGTGTTCAGCGGCTATTGAGAGGAGGGGAGGGGCTGTGCCTGTGTGCGCCTGTGCTGTAGCAGTGCTGTGTGACGTGTGGCGAATGAGGCGAAAACCGCACTGTTGGTATCAATAATGGTGAAAATGAGTATCTAATCAGATACTAATCGATATTAAAAATGAGTATCTGAGAACCAATTTTTGACAACCCCAGTGTCTCATTGTTTTCAACTCCAGCATCAGCTATATCTTCCATTTCTGATCTTTCGCGGTACATTTTTATTGGTGCAACATTGAAAAAAGGTCCCCACTTAAACAGTTTCCAGCCACGCCACTTTCCAGACGTTGTTTAGGCTATTTAAACCAGTATTGCAGTACAAGAAAAAAATTCATAACAATAATCGAAAACGGTTTTCGGTATGAACCGGTATACTTCCCAACACTACAGGACACAGAGAGAAAGAGGTATAAGAAGGAGAAAGGAGGGTACAGAGAGTTGGGTATAGAAAAAGAGAGTGAGGAGGGTAAAGAACAGGGTATAGAAAAAGAAAGAGGGTACAGAGAGGAGGGTATAGAAAGAGAGAGAGACAGGAGGATATGGAGAGAAGAGTACGGAAACAGCGAGCAGTGTACAGAGACAAAGGTAGTGCTGGGCGATAAAACGATCGATTTTTTTTATCGATAAAAAATGAGGACGATCACGATGATACACACAAACTATAAATCTCGATCAACCAAATTTGCTCTGTTTTAGAGAATGCGCTGAGACAGACAACTCGATGGCCTATCGAGCAGAGGTTTACTGAACGCCAGCACAACAGCCAATCACCGACGACGTTGTAATTTTGCCCATCCTCCCTTAACACCTGCATGCACATTACTTTTTTTTACAATAACCAACTCCTGATACAAACTGTTAGCAGTGAATAAAACTATTGTGTATAATGGCCCTGTGTAAAAAGACAGCTGCCAGGAAAAAGATCAAATACATGTATTTCAAGGGTTCAAAGTTTTTATTGTCATGTACAGAGTACAATGCAATTCTTACTTGAATGCTTTCTTCACAGACTGGATGATTAAACAAATTTATGTAATGTAAACAGCAAAATTTGTTGGAAAATAAGTATTTGTTTACTAATATTGTTTATTTCAATGTATTCATTCTATTTGTCAGAATAAGGTTATTTTTATTATTATTTTGATTATTACATTATTACATGGAACAGCATTGTGAAGCTATAATATTGATAATTATCGATATCGGTCAATACAGGAAAAAATATCGTGATAATTTTATTTGCCATATCGCCCAGCTCTAGACAAAGGTATGGAAAGAGAGAGAGGAGAGTATAGAAAGAGAGAGAGAGGAGAGTATAGAAAGAGAGAGACAGAGGAGCATACAGAGAGGAGAGTACAGGGGAGAGAGAGAGAGAGAGAGAGGAGGGTATGGAAAGAGAGAGGAAGGAGGAAGGTATGGAAAGAGAGAGAGGAGAGTATAGAAAGAGAGAGACAGAGGAGCATACAGAGAGGGGAGTACAGGGGAGAGAGAGAGAGGAGGGTATGGAAAGAGAGAGGAAGGAGGAAGGTATGGAAAGAGAAAGACGGACATGCAGAGAGGGAGCGAGACAGGCGTGCGGAGAGGGAGGAGCACACAGAGGGAGACCCAGGGGAAAGAGAGATGAAAGGCAGGCCAGCAGGGCTATGCAGCAAAGGAAGAGGCTGTCAATCAGGAGCACTGCATCCACGCAAGATGATGTGACACTTCCCACAAATAAAAGGAGCATTGTGCATGCAAGCAGTGAAGGTTCCCTCTGCAGTGCACTGTGAAGGTTCCCTCTGCAGTGCACTGTGAAGGTTCCCTCTGCAGTGCACTGTGAAGGTTCCCTCTGCAGTGCACTGTACGGCATGTCCAAGAACTGGAAGATTACAACCAAACCACCTGATCATGTCCTTTGCAGGTTGGTGAGACCAAATTACAAAAGCCTAGTCTATAATACAGTATTTTACTGCAGTACAGTATTTTATACTACAGTACAACACTACAATGCATTATAATACAGTAACAATATAAAATGTACTTTGTTATAGTATGCTATACTTTTATACTACACTTACAGTATGGTATAGTATTATGGAATAGCATACGTTTTACTCAGGGATGAACATAACTGGTACACAAGCAGGCATTCGTCATATAAAAAGTGATACATCTTATCGTAACAACACAAATCCGCACTTATTTTGTGTGCATTAACGCCACTATGACAAGAAATTACTGGCCATTTTAACCTTTATACAGCTAATTTGTACTTCATTTGCAGTATAGAGGTTAAAATTCAAGGTAATTTCCTGTCATAGCAGAGCAAATGCACATAAAATAAGTAAAGCAGCTGAGCTGTTACAACAAGAAATCGCAGCAAATATCACTTTATATGGTGAATGCAGAACCCCTGATTATACTGCATTACAGAACATTAGTCAGGGATTGACATAACTGGTACGCAAGTACACATTCGCCTCTTATGCCAATCCCTGCCACAAAGGCAGCATGTGGGCCGTATGCATGGTCACAGTGCTAACTGGTCAAAAATAAAAAATATATATATATATATTACATATACACGCAATAGGAAGCTGTGGATGCTGTCAACAGATGCTACACACAGAAATAAGCTATCAGACATCAAGCCAGCACTTGAGAAGAACAGTCAACACTGAGGACAACAGACACTAAAGAACCGTTACGGACAAAACCACCATCGTTAGTTAGAAAGATGCATCAATGCCAACAAAAGCACCATGCTGTGTTTTTATGACAGCAGCCGTATGCGACTTCAGCAGGTCCCCACACACACACTTAGCCCCAAATTGGAACCTACAGCACCCCCCGCCTTCTGGCGTGGGATCTGTAGGTCAGAAGGTCACCTGTAGGTCACTTGTTCTGTGGCTGCTTGCTTTGGCACCGAACCAGAGAGGCTGGGAAGGGCCGACCCGGAAGAACATTTATGCGCACCAGTGAGACACAGACGATTAGGAAGTACAAGGAGGACAGTAATTCTCCTGGATGTTTAAAGCAGTCTAACGCTGAAAACAGAACACAAGCGGCATCGCCTCACCGCAGTGAAGGTACAACAGCACAAACAGAACGCGATACATCGCTTTATTAGACGTGTCCCCTCGTCACCATGTGAGACATGCTTGCTGCTTCTGCTTCTTCACAATGGTTAGTAACACATTATCCAGTTACTGCACCAGTAACTGCACTGTGTAAGATGAATTCACCACGTTTTTAACGTAGGAGTCGGCCGGCATAAAAAGGATCACATGACCCCATACAATCTGCTCCCAATGCTATTTTTTTTAATATGCTCTCCTCCGTCAAAGAAAGAATGGAAAACGAGTGTAATGGAGAACAATATGGCGGTCTTAAAGGGGCGGTGGGCGCTCTAACAGGATCATTCACTGGGAATTGGGGGGGGGGGTCAGGCCAGTAAAGTGTGAAAGAAATCAAGTTTATCATGGGTTAGCCGCAAAGAGGAGCTTGGCGAGGCAGGAAGGGGTCTCCGAAGGACACGGATCGAACCGCAGTGTGTCCAGATTGGCCAGTCACACTCATTAGTGCCATTAAGTAGCAGGAATTCCAGTCGTTACGCACAGCAGGATTAACTGCAGCCGCGATCTGAACAAATAAGCCGCAAGGGGACCTCGCCCCGTCCCGCGATCTGACCCTTCAGTCAATCAGCCTGAAAAGCATTCCATCTGACTAGCGACGATTTCGGGAAACGTCTCTGAAAACAGCTTGACTTGTGACCCACAGCATCGGATTGAATAACGTTGAAAAACAAGCAAAAAAAGAAAAAAAAAAAAAAAAAAACCTTAATGAGCCGGAGTGTAGAGAATGCGGGGCGAGCACCTGCCCGTCCCCCTCCCTCTGGTGCATCCGGGCCGCTAAGCAAACACAGCTATCTCCTCAAATTCAGGTG